AGTGGTGAATGTGGTATATATTATCGATTGGCAATAATGGTCGTGAATGAAAGCTGGTGGCGATTGATTGTCTAGATGGTGGTGATTTGGTTGTGGGGGTTGATGGTAGTGATTGTGCTTGGAGGTGGGCAATAGAGATATATGGTTGATACTGGTGGCGGGTTATGAAAGTGGATGATGACAATAGGTTGTGAAGATGGCTAGCAGGTCGTGAAAGTAGTTGTGGTTGATATTTAATAAATAGAATATTGGCAAAAGGTTATGTTTATAAGAATTTTTAAATGATTTTAAGAGTTTATATAAGATCCAAATGATTTAAATTTTGTATACGGTTAAAATCGGGCTCGCCCCTTATGTGACCAATCGAGACTGGAATATGATTGTCACGACCCAAAATCCCACCATAGGCGTCGTGATTGCACCTAGTATCTAAGACTAGGTAAGCCGATTTCAATTACATTTTGAAGCTTTTTTAAAAAAAAAATTAAATAAGTAATCAAAACTAATAGCGGAACAAATATGAATATATAACCTCTCAAGACTGGTAGTACTGAATCACGAACTCTAACTGAATACATGGGATGATCACGAGGACCGAATATACAATACTATTTGATTAAAAATTAACAGTACAATGAAATGAAAAGACTCCAAGGGACTGCGATGACCAAGCAGCTCTACCTTGAATCTTTACGATCCCTCTTTAACTCTGCTCAAGTCCGATATCTCCAATATCTGGCTCTGCAAAATAATGTGCAGAAGTATAGTATGAGTACACCACGGTCGGTACCCAGTAAGTATCAAGACTAACCTCAGTGGAGTATAGACGAGGTATAGTCAAGATACTCACTAGTCTAATAGCCTGTGCAATATAATATACAAGATAGTAGGAAACAGATAATAATAAGTACATCATAAAACAACCAGTGATATGCACAGTGTGAGCACCTAATTTTTGACTATATTTGAATTTTTATCATCTTCTACTATGTAAATATTTTTAGAAATTTAATATATATATTTTTAGCTTTGTTACATTTTTTAGGGTAAAAATTAATAATAATTTAAAAAGTCAATTATTACTATTAGTATTATTTTTATTTTTATCTTTATTTTAAATAAAATGAATTAAAAAACAAAAACAAAATAAAAATTAATTATTTTTTTCAACAAAAATAAAAATTCGGATGGGAATTAAAAAATAGTAAAAGTAGAAATATAAAATTAAAAGGTAAAAGTAAAAGAAGGTAGAAATTATTTAATAAAAAAAAGTAAAGAGAAAGTGAAAAATTAAAAAAATAAAAGTAAAAGAATGTAAAAATTTAAAAAAATAAAAAATAAAATAAAGTTGGAATTAAAAAATAAAAGTAAGGGTATCTGATTTTTAAAAAAAAAAAAGTAAAAGTAAGTGAAAATTTAAAAAAAGAAAAGTAAAATAAGTGGGAAATAAAAAAAGAAAAGTAAAAAAAGTGGGATTTTAAATATATTAAAAGTAAAAAAAAGTGAGAAATTAAAAAATAAAAGTAAAGAAAAGTGAGGAATTATTTTTAAAAAAATAAAATAAGAAAAATAGGAAGTGGAAATTCTTTTTAATTAAAAATTAAAAAATAAAAAAAAAATCTGAAAATTCCGAAATTTTTTCTATAAATAGAAGAGAAATGTGAGGGAAAAAAAAGGGAGAAGAGAAAAAAAAAATAGGGAGGAAGGAATTGAGAGAAATTTATTTTCTTCTTCTAGGATAAGGAAATTTCTACTCGTGTCATTCTTTCTTCGTCTTTCTTTCGAAAAATCCAGCAAAATCACCCCCCAAAAAATAGATTTAAACCCAGCAAAAACAAGCCACTAAATCACCTGTCTTGCAAGATCGATCGGGGTTGCAAGTCACAATTTTTTGTTCGAGGTTTCGTGGCCGATGAAAGCTCCAGTCAACACTCGTCGAATTGTTTAGCGCTCTTGTAACTTCAACTCTATTAATTTATATCAAAGGTCCGTTATTTTTCTTTCTTCACTGATTATAATTGTCCATTTACCTTCTTGTCTATTGGTGTGATTATTGGATAGCATGAAGTAGTAGTTCACTCTATTGATATTTGAATCATTTGAATATGATTGTTTCCTTGTTCATATGTTTATTGGACTATGATGTTAATTTTAGAGTTGCAAAGTTTTGTTTTGAGTTGATTTAACTGGATAAAGGGTCTATTGAATCACTGTAATTTGGCTTGTTTACTAATTTTGTTCATGAGATTGTGGTGTCATTAGTTTTGTTTAAGAAAAGTACAGAATATGTGATATTGGGTTGGATAATTTGCTTGGACCATGATTTGTTTCTAAGGAAATTGGTTTTTGGGCTGTTGGAGAAGAAAAGATTTTGGGCCAAAAGATTTAGTCTTATCAGGCCCAAAGTAATAAATAACATAGCTGACCCATCTTTCTCTAAACTAGTCCACTTTTCTATAAATAATAAATTCACTTCTTCCACAAATAATTCCATACCTCATGACCTTATAATAATCTCAAAATTAGTAATTGAATAATATTCGAATATCGTAGCTTGCTTTAGGCGCGATTAATAATCAATCATCGTGACTGTGGGTACGGTTCTCGTGGCATGGTCACGATACGTAATTTCCAATTCGAGTGTGCGTTTCACGTGACTCGACCACAACTTCAAATAATAATAAAAAAATTAAACACATTATAGATTGCGGGTGCATTTCACGTGACGTGATTTGCGATGTGTATAAACAACGAGTGTACGACAACGTAACTCGTCTCATATTAAATCCATAAAAGTTTAAAATTGAGTAATGTAATGAAAGCGGTAAAAGGAATAAAAATGCACATATAGGTTTAAACATCTATTAAATCAGATAACTAGGCCAATTATTAATAGTTGAACAATCGTGCTAAAACCACAGAACTCGAGAGTGCCTCACACCTTCTCTCGGGTTAACAAAATTTCTTACCCGGTCTTTGTGTTCGCAGACCATAAATAAGAGTCAATTTTCCTCGATTTGGGATTCTAAAATAAATCGGTGACTTGGGACACCATAAATTATTTCAAGTGGCGACTCTGAATAAATAAAGAATCCCATTTCGAATAATGTCATTTAAATTGGAAAAACTCCCTATCCCCTATCCCCTATCCCCGGGAAAAAGGAGGTGTGACACATAGCAAGATAACAAAACACCATTTAATATCGCTCAACAAATAATAAATACAAGTACACCCAATTAAATTAAATTCTTTAAATAAATGTCCTTCACATATAATTCTACCAAATAATTCTCTTTCAAATATAATTTTTCTCAAATAAATATCCTTGAATATACCTTATATAGAATTGTACCAAAAGTAGGACACCCCTACTATATAAAGGGGTCAGATCATTTATAAAACACATCATATCAACGCAACATAAAGCAATATACTGACACTTTCTAGCTTTTATTATCTTGTTACTCTATTAGCCTGTTAATACTTCAGTTGAAACATCTTTAGTTCGAAGGTGGTCAAACTCGAGGGCCAAGGCAATTCGATATGTGTGGTTTGCATTTATTCTTCTATTGTCAATTTCAATATTAATCTGTCTTCTTAATTTGTGTTAAGTTATATCACGTATCCTTAAAATCGCGTATAAATTCAATTGTTATCCATTTTTGAGGGTAAACAGATCTATTAAAAGCTAATATATACTTATAAAGAAAATACTTAATATAATAGGCGAACAATTGAATGTTTCATATTCAGATAGACAAAGTGTAAATAGATCCTAAGAAGGCGAGGTGTGGGAAGGAGGACATAGGTTTTCAATAATTCTATATTGAATGCGTGCTTAGTTTTTAGATTCTTATTTATCTTAGTTAAAAATAATAAAAGCAATGAAATCATAATCTGATAACTAGGACTATCTGAAAATAAAAAAAGATTGCAGTGAAAATAAAATAAAATATAGAAGACTGGATGGGATACTCTTTCCCTATCTCTATGCTAAAAACAAGGAAAATCAAGGATAATCTTGCAAGTTGCAACCCTCCTTTTTCTTCCTCTGCAGTAAAAGGTGGACAGTAAAACAAAAAAAAAAAATTTAATGTCGTGTTCAATATTCACGCAGTGGGGACTATACAACTAAAATTAAAGTCGATAGTTCGGATGATATGAAGATTTCATAAAAAAATCTGAATAAACAATTCAATTTTAATGTCGTGTACAAATATACATGTGGTATGGCCGTATGGACTATACTACTGAAAAGTCGATACTTCGGATCATATAAAGATATCATAGAAAACCTAATTAGTTGTAGAAAAAATAAATGCACTGGGGGAATTAAGGTCTAATTAGTAATTAGATTAAAGTCTAAGTAGAAACAAACAGGTAAAGAATTATACATCAAAAACCATAAAAGGGGTAAAATTGGGTTCTGGATATGTATGCTCGTTGGGTAAAATTAAACTAGGATGTGGATGTGTATATATTGGACTATAGTGGCCAATAATCTGATATCTTAAGAAGAAGTTAATTTATTAGTTGATCCATATGTTTTTCAATCTCGACACATTTCCAACTCCAATCTAATAAAGGGCATATATGTTCTCATATATGCGACCTACACTGGCAAATTAAATGTCTGAATCCTCCGATTCTAACACAAAAGTAGAGAGGGTCAAGAGACGATCAAATGTTCAATTGTACTGTAAACCAAAATGTTTGAGGCGAATTGGTGTAATTTGCCCTTGGGCAATTTCAATTTTACTTAAAGGGAAATAGTTTTAACTTAAAAAAGAGACTTCTCAAAATTTTGTAAGAAAATGGTTTCATGTTTTCTAGGCAATTCTGGAAGAGAAAAGTGGAGAAATTGACACGAAGCAGAAGAGTCCAGGAGTCACTAGAAGCTCTAGCCACGTCTAGAGAAGTTGACACGCCAGCTAATACACACCAATACAGTGATCAGAAGTTTTTAGTTGCTTATATAATCTCCTCAATATACAGATTCGATGCAGACGGAAACCATTATAAAAGTAGTAGTATTTATTGCATATATATACAAATACAAAAGCTCCAAGATGCAAACAAGATTGGCAATTTCTTCAGCTACAAAACTTCATCGACTCTTATTGGCACAATCTCAGAAGAGTGTTGAATACCTTCCAAACAGATTTTGCTCTTCTACTGTTGGTCGAACAGCTGATCCCGCCGTCCATTCTGGACCTCTTGAAGTAAGTCATCTACAAACTAAATCTCAACCATTTCAATGTCTGAATTTGTGATAATGATGAACGTAAATTGGGGGCTGAGTCAAACTTGGACGATATAAAAACAGGTGAAATTAATAAATGGATCATGATTCAATATGTTAAAAGTTACTTGGGTCAAAATAGAAAATTAGAAATGGCTAGCTCAACTAACAAGTTATCCTGTGTAACAGGATCGTATCCCCTTTATTATTTGTGGTTTAGTAAAAGTATAGGTAAGTCTAATTTTTATAAAAATGTTAGCTTAGACGTTCAAATTTACATGATTTTATATATCCAAGGACGTAAGTTTAGGTTGCAATTACATTTTGATTCACTAGCTTAACCTGTTTTGAAAGTTTGTTGGGGTCAATGAACTAGTACGTTGTATTAATTTGCAGGGAGATGACTTAGAAGAATCAGTAAAAGCAGCAGAAAACGAAGGGAAACAACCAAATATAAAGCCCGGTAAAGATAACGAGGCATTTGTGCCACCAAAATCACCAACAGGGTCATCCCAGAAGATAGAGAGTACAGGGGTAAACAAACCTATAGACCCTTTGACACAACAAAAGCGACATAAATCTAATGTTAGCCGCTCTAATGGAGCGCTATCATTAGAAGATGTTAGCTGCGTGGGATTAGACGGTACACCGTGGCCTGACGAAGCGAAAGACAGAGGAGCGCAATTAGAAGATGACAGAGAATACTTCAAGCATCATAAGCCCTCGCCTTTGGCAGAGATGGAGATGGCTGATACGAGGAAGCCTATTACACAGGCCACTGATGCACCAGCGGGTGCTGGTGTCGCTTTTTATCCGGCGCCTGACGGCGGGGTAATGGTTTGGAGGCCGGAGCAATTGGAGACTGCTGAAGAGTCTCTGATGAGAGCGATGGAGATATGGAAACAGAACGCTATGAGAGGTGACCCTGATTCACCACATGGTAGGATTCTAAGACAACTTCGTGGTGAGAACTGGTGATCTGATGACTAGTTCACCTAGTAAAGCAGCTAATTAGTAGCCAATACCAGGTCTTTAGTTAGTCCCAGGTTTTTGGCTGTCATGCCTGTGTGTAAGTGTAAATGGAAAAGGAAATGGAAACTTAATTAGTTTGGATTTGAAGAAATGGTTTCTGTTCATTTAGATCAGAGGGTTGCAGATTGGGATTTATCAGCTTTAAGAAAAAAAATCTGTTTTGGACAGTACGCGAATAGAAGATACAAATGCTATCATGTGTTGGTTTAGCATGTAACATGTTTATCATTAAAACGGATAACAATTAAATTTGTATGCAGTTTTAATGATATGTGGATAGATTCAACACAAATAATAAAGAATACTAAATAAACGAATTAAAGATAAAATGAATAATCAAATCAGTTATAATGTTATGGTCCAGTTTGAACTTTTGAACTTGGATTGGGTAATAGTTTCTGCTCTCGATTGAATTCTTGATTCGGGGCCAATTGAGAATAAAGAACAACAGTAAAGTAAGAACTATGCAATAGCTATGAAGTAGAAAAATGAGTTTGTATTGTCTTAATATGCAATACCATGTATCTTATCAAAGAAAAACGTCATCTTTATATAGTAGGAGAATTTCATCCCTAGTACAAGTCTAAAAAAGATAAAAATTCACATCTCTCGTTAATTACTGATCCGTAACCGCCATCGAGCGAGATCCGTGCTGTGATATCCGGTTGGTTCGGGAAATCACGGCCCTATATCTGTCGCATACCATCGTTCATTGCGCTTCCCGAAGTATCAGAGTTTGTCCTGAGTCCGGGGTACGTCGTCTTATCAGGTCCGATAGCGAGCACTCCATTCGGGACTTAATACAAAGAGTTCCTAGCTTCGATTTCAATCTCATATATTCATTCTCTTACATTGTTTGATCCACCAAAAATTGGGGTGTGCGTTAACCCCGATTTCACACGTATACAAATAGTTCCCTCGTTTCTCAGAGAGTAGGTTTTGCCGAGATGATGAAAAACGATAGATGAACCTCGGTTCCTTCCTTCATACGTTATAACCGAGGTGACAAGTAAGCCGAAATGTCCCATCAGTCGCGTCGTTTCGACTTCGAATACGTGTCGGTGATCGGCTGGTTGTCTTCGAACGCGTAACGTCGCGTATTGATTGCATTTTTCCCTATAAAAGCTTTGACCTTTTATACTTCTTTCACTTTCCGATCCTAGCTTTTACCTTTGAATTTTCAAGCGGCTTCAACTTTTTCAAATATTCATATCTTCATCTCTAATCTTCAAATCTTCATATTTGTTCTACGATTTCTAATTCAGATCTTCATATCTTCATTCCGCATTCAAACCTTCATACTCTTTTCTTCAAACCTTCATACTTTTCCTTCGAATCTTCATACTTTCCTTCAAATCTTCATAGTTTCCCAGATCACGATGGCTAAAATTTCCAAGTCAGTGCCTCAACAGGTTGTCCATCCGGCCGCAAATGCCGAGGTAGCTGAGCCGAGATGGATGCAGTCAAGGTCAAGGTCGAAGAGTGGAAAGGCAGGATGGACCGCCTGGCCTCGGAAAAGGAGACTGCCCGGGCGCAGTTGACCTCGGCGGAGGCCCAACTTCGAGCGACGAGGGAAAAGGCTGAGGCACGGTCCCAAAAAATTGAGGAGCTACTGTCTCAGCTAAGCTCGGCTATTGCCGATCGAGAGACTCTTTCCAAGGAGCTTAAAGCGGCCAAGTCGGTGGTAGAAGTAACCAATACCGATGAGATGGTGACCTAGTATAAAGCCCGAACCCTCGGGGTTTTGATTTGTCGGCCGAGGTCGAAAGTTCTAAGAGGATCGAGGCCGAGGCCAAGAAGTTGGCGTATCTCGAGGACGAAGAAGACTCCGAGGGTTCGGGCGGATTCGGGGACGGAGAAGACTCCGATGGTCTGGGTGATGAGGCGGGCTCTGGTGGAGACCAAGCCATTTAAATGCCTTGTAGTTTTCTCCTTGTTTTTGTACTTTTGTATCTTTTTGTCGAGGCCGTTTGGCATTTATAAAGATCTTTATATATATATATAAGGCTCTTTTTCCCTTCGATATTTTTTAAGCTTGTTTCTTTTCGCTTTTTTCTTTATGATTGTGAAGAATGCCTTAGCACGTAATAATTAGGTCTTGTTCGGAGGTTCGAACAAGCCTTGCTCTCGATATTATTTGTTTAAGACTCGTGGGGGGCTCGGTATGACTGGAAGTTTTCTCCAAAGTACTTAGAACCTTTTAGATTACAATTTGCCAAGGGTAGCCTTTTGAACCAGTTTAGAAATTTTGAAGGCCTTAATTGTTTTTGGTTACAGGTCTCGGACGTCTCCGAGCCGTTTTAAGACGGCCGTAACCTTTCTAGTTCGGGTGTTGCCTAGTGGGATTGTTACCCCGAGTCATCCAGGCTTAACCGAGATAACCGTCCCTAAATGGAGGTGGCCGTAGCCTTTAAAGTTCGGGCACTGCCAAATAAATTTTGTGCCCCCGGGCTTCATTATCTCGGGTTGTCCGAACCCGTCTTGGGCGGAGGTCCCCGAGTGAGGTGGCCCTTGGGCTCGATGTCTTTAGGGGATCGAATGTAAGAAAGAAAAATTTTCAAGGGGCAAAATATTTATCCGCAAGGTAGAAACTTCCTTTCAATTTTGTGCATAATATACAAAGTTACATGTGTTCAAGCTTTGTGTCCGGGCTCGGGCGGTCTATGTGGGCACGGTTCATTCGACCGTTTGGCCCTTACAGTAAATCCTATCGATTGAGCCTAGATTATTCGAGCACAAAGTTTCTTTCCTTGCCAAAATCATTATCCGAGGGTGATGCCCCCCAGTGTTCGAGGTCGATCATAGAGAAGCCTCGGATACTGTTGACAATCGGTCTTCGATTCTAAGTTAGCACTATCCAGTGTTGCCTCGTTAAAAACCTTGTCGGAAAATCCATTTGGGACAAAACCGGTTCAAGGGAAAAAGAGTGCAACGCGTACTTTTAGGCCTAAAAATTTGTATCGTTCTTTGACGATTACCTGCAAGAGTTAGTCCAAAATGTAAATAAATAAAAGAAGTAAACGGGGTCGTACCTTAGCAGTAATATCGTTTCAAGTGAGTTATGTTCCAGTTGTTTGGTAATCGCTCACCATTCATTGCTTCAAGTTTGTACGACCCTTTTTCGATGATCTCGATAATTTGATACGGACCTCCCTAGTTCAGCCCCAGCTTCCCTTCGTTCGGGTTCCTGGTGTTTAATGTGACCTTTCTCAACACTAAGTCCCCGACATTGAAGTGTCGAAGGTTGGATCTTCGATTGTAATACCTCCCGATCCGTTATTTTTGGGCGGCCATCCGGACGAGGGAGGCTTCGCGCCTTTCATCTAACAGTTCGAGGCTCATATTTATCGTCTCGTTGTTTGATTCTTCGATTGTATATCAGAACCTGAGACTCAGTTCTCTGACTTCGATCGGTATTAGAGATTCGGCGTCGTAAACCAACGAAAATGGGGTGTCCTCGGTACTGGACTTCGAGGTCGTACGGTATGCCTATAGGACTTCGAGAAAGATATATTTCCATTTTCCTTTGGCGTCGGTCAATCTCTTTCTGATGTTTTGGAGTATGGTTTTGTTCGTGGACTCCGCTTGCCTGTTCCCACTAGTGATAGGGTGTTTACAAGATTCTTTTGATCTTATGACCTTCGATAAACTTGCTTACTATGCTGCCGACGAACTGCTTCCCATTGTCACACACGATCTCGACCGGCATACCAAACCGACATATTATGTGGTCCCAGATGAAATTAATGACGTCCTTCTCCCTGACTTTCTCAAACGCCTAGTCTTCCACCCATTTAGAAAAATAGTCAGTCATAAACAATATAAATTGAGCCTTACCGGGTGCCCATGAAAGGGGGCCGACGATGTCCATCCCATATTTCATGAACGGCCAGGGTGACAAGACCGAATGTAGCAGCTCCCCGAGCTGATGAATCATCGGAGCATGCCTTTGACATCCGTCGCATTTTTGTACGAACTCCTTCGCGTCCTTTTCCATGTTAATCCAATAGTAGCCGACTCTGATTATTTTCTGAACTAATGATTCGGCGCCCGAATGATTTCCCCAGGTGCCTTCGTGAATTTTCCTCAGAACATACTCGGTGTCTCTTGGTCCTAGACATATTGCGAGTGGGCTATCGAACATTCTCCGGAACAGTGTACCGTCTTCGGACAAGCTGAACCGGGCCGTCTTTGTACATAGAGTCGTCGATTCCTTAGGGTCCGAGGGCAGTTTTCCGGTCTTCAGATATTCTATATATTTATTTATCCAGTCCCAAGTTAGGCTTGTTGAGTTTATCTCGGCATGACCTTCTTCCACTACCGATCTCATGAGTTGTACGACCGCCCCCGTGTTGAACTCATCGTCGTCGACCGACGACTCCAAGTTAGCAAAGGCATCAGCCTCGCTGTTTTGATCCCGAGGCACATGTTGTAGAGTCCACTCCTTGAACCAATGTAACATTACCTGTAGTTTATCCAGGTATCTTTGTATTCGTTCCTCTATGACTTCGAACGTCCCATTAACTTGGTTCACCACAAGGAGGGAGTTGCACTTAGCTTCGATTACCTCTTCGCCCAAGCTTTTGGCCAGTTTGAGACCTGCAATCATGTACTCGTACTCGACCTCATTGTTAGTTAATTTTACAGTCCTAATATATTGTCTAACTATATTACCTATTTGTGGCTTCAATACAATGCCGAGTCCGGACCCTTTTGCGTTCGAGGCGTCGTCTGTCAAAGAGGGTCCAGATTCCCGAAGAAGTCCCCGAGCTTAACAACAAATCTTTCTCGACCTCGGGTATTAGGGTCGGCGTAAAGTCATCTACAAAGTCTGCTAAAATTTGAGATTTAATGGCGGTCCGAGGCCGATATTCGATATCGTACCCGCTAATCTCTACGGCCCATTTGGCTAACCGTCCTGAGAGTTCGGGTTTATGCATTACATTCCTTAACGGGTAAGTGGTTACGACACATATGGGGTGACATTGAAAGTACCATTTCAGCTTCCTAGAGGCGCTTAGCAAAGCGAGCGCCAATTTTTCTTGGTGAAGGTGTCTAGTTTCGGTCTCACCTAAAGTCCTGCTAACATAGTAAATTGGAAATTACGTACCTTTCTCTTCCCGGACTAGGAATCCACTTACCGCTATCTCTGATACTGCCAAGTACAAGTATAGTTGTTCGTCTGTCTTCAGTGTGT